AAAAATAATTCACTTTTATGTTTAGTTTTGATTTTTAAATAATTCTATACACAAATTTTTTCTAACTTTTTATTTTAATTGTCATCATTAATACTACATAAAATAGATACAATTATAGATCATGATGACAACCTAAGACACAACCTTAACTCTAATTTTGATATAATATTATATTATATTATTTAATTTTTATTTACTCTTTTTTCTAGCAATACTATTATACCACATTTAAATTACATACAATTAAACTTTAAAATCTTTAAGCAACTCAAAAAATATTCTTATATTAAAACAATCAATTAAATAATTATAAATATAATTAAATAATTAAATATGTAAAATTGTTAACTTTTTTATTCTGCGGTAAAAAAATTCTATTAGTGAAAGTTATGCCATTAAAATTATATTTAGCATTTTTTTTATAGGAAAAATAAAATTTGAGTGAATTTATCATGTACAATTAACTTTATTAAAAGTAATTTTAAATAATACTTATAAATAAATTTAATTTAAATTTAAACAAAAATATAAATTTCTTTATGAGCTTATGTTTGATATTTTATTTTATTTTATTAATAATTTATTTAAATAAACAACATAAATTACAACTTATTTCTTAAAATTGTCAATTATTCATTATCTATTTTAAATAGTCCTTATAAATTAATTTAATTGAAATTTAAAATTAAAAATATATTTATTTTATGAGTTTATGTTTGATATTTTATTTTATTTTAAATTTATTATATTATTTACTAATTTAACTCAACATATATATAAAAGAATATAGTTATATAATACAAAATTTCTAATAATACTCATAACACTCATGACTTCTCAAATACCCACCACTATATTTAAAATATATATTTTTTGTATATGTAACTGATTAAAACTAATATAATTAAAAATTAATTTTAAAACAAAATTGTTATCAATTTAATTTGTTTAAAAAGCGACATAAATTCCAACTTATTTCTTAAAATTGTCAATTACTCATTATTTATTTTAAATAGTTCTTATAAATTAATTTAATTGAAATTTAAAAATAAAAATAAATTTCTTTATGAGTTTATGTTTGATATTTTATTTTATTTTATTAATAATCTTTCAAATTATTCTATTATTTATTAATTTGACTCATTATATATAAAAGAATATAGTTATAGAATACAAAATTTCTAATAACACTCATAACTTCTCAAATGCTCACAAGTACATTTAATATACATTTTTTATATATGTAACTAATTAAAAGTATTATAATTAACCATTAATTTTAAAATAAAACTGTTATGAATTAAATTTAATCATTACATTAATAAATTATTAATTTATTTAAAGAACAACATAAATTCCAACTAAAATTTTAAAGTTTTCAATTATTCATTCTTTACTTTAGTTATGAGTCAAATTATTTTTCTTTCTATAATAAAAAGATATGAAAAAATTAAGATTAAAAAATGTTATATCAAAGCCTCTTATAAATTTATAATATGTTTATATCAAAATTTCTCAATTAAAAAATAGGATAAATATTAAGTGAAAGAAACATATCTCTTCTATTTCTAAACTCACTATCATTTTTTAATGTTTATTCCTAAATATTCATTAAATTATCCATTTCATTTAATCTCTCATTTTAAAAACTTAAACAGTCTCATAAACTATTATGTTTATTTGAATTTCTCCACATCTATAACACTGCACATAATCTCACATTATTATTTATTCGATGTATTTATTATTTTCTTGCTATGATTTTGTAGGTAAATTTATCTTATTATTAAATCACAACACTTTTGTTTATTGTGAATATAAATAGTGAGTTTAATTTCAGATCTTCACCTTTTTAGTATTCTTAAAAATTGTATGAGAGTTTTTTCATGTATTTTTTACTTTATACACATGTCTTGATTATTCATTTATTTTTTGTAGTAAGGTAAAAGACTATTTATTTGTTATCTATGTCAATATAGCTCAAGTTACTATTATATTGAAGAATCAAATATTCAAACTCTACTTTTTAATGATGTTAATATGTATTTTATAAGTTTTAGATCGAGAAATAAGACCGACTATTTTTATTTTATAAAATATATGTTATTATGTGCATTAATATTAAAAAAAAATATACGTTACTCTTTATGAAATATACTAAAGATAAAAGAAATTAAAGATAAATGGTTTAAAATATATTTATAGTATATCTTTATCATATTTTATTTTTTTCTTTCTTTTTCCTTAGTTTTTTTTTGGGTAGGATAACTTTTTGGTAGTTAAAAACACTTAATTTTAAAAATATTAAATTCCAAAACTTTAAAGAAAAGGGAATAACTTTAATATAAAATAAAAGATAGAATTACTTTTAAACATGTCTCTTAATAGAAATTTAAAAGTACAGTACATTTCACATTATTATAATAAATTTTAATTTTAATTGACGCATTCATAATTTTAGTTTTTAAAATAAATTTATATTTATATTTTGGCTAAATTACAGTTTTAGTCCTCCTATTTTGTGTGATTCACGAAATTAGTCTTCCTATTTTAAATTCAAATTATTTTAGTCTCCTATTTTAAATTTAAACAATTTCAGTCCGTCTCTCATCTTTTTCATAAAAAATCGATGAGATTTTTAATTTTTAATTTTTTTTTTGTTTTTACCTACAAAGTTCAATAATAGATTTATATATAATGATTTATTATATTTTACAAGTAATTTGTCATTTAAAAAGTGAAAACATCGTTAAGTTTAAGTGCTAAAGTATGAGAGGAGGATCAAAACTGTTTAAATCTAAAATAGGAGATCAAAACTATTGATATAGTGTAAATTAATTTAATGAATAGAAAAAGAGATTTGTCTGTTTTGTATTCAATATTATGGACCAAATAGATATGGTTGGATATTTATACGTATGTCCAGTAAAAGATAAGTGGTATAAGAAGAATGCTATTTTTTTATAATGTCGATTGTTACTATAATAAATTTATAGTACTGAATATTTTTATATTATACCATGTTAATTTTTATTCACTTATTAACTTAATTATAATGAATATAGTTATAAAATACATATTATTATAAATATATGCCACTTTTTTTTGGATTAATATATTTCTCTTTTCTCTAAAAAAAATTTATAAAACTGGTCCGCGCATCGTGCAGGTAGACATCTAATTTAAATAAATGGATAAATGAAAATTTTGTCATAATAATTGGTTAAGTCACAATTTGACACAAGGCATTACGACCAACCCATAATAGGAATTACAACATTAATGACTCTAGGATAAATTTTGACAAATAAAAATATAAAATTCATATTTTAAAAATACAATGGATCTTAGTATGTCACATCGATTAAACTTCATATAATCATTGTGAAAAGGAAAGAAATTTCATATGTCACTCAAATGACCTAGATGATATATTGAGATATTCCATCGATCACACGAGTGACCGAGGTGAAAAGCTGAGATATCTATTACTTTTATCTTTAGTTAGCATGCATGCTTGAGGTGAAAGATCAATGTAAAAAATGTAATACTTATTATAACCGTCAGTACATCAATGTGAAAAAATAACATACTTATCATAACATGTAATCCTAACTCAAAAGACTATTAGATGTTAAATATCTATCCGATGTGAAATATCTTTTTTAAGACTCTTTCTGTTTCAAAATAAAAATCTTTTAAGATTGTGGCATACAAATTAAGAAAAATAATGAGTGAAACAATAAATATAACACATTTACAAAATTATCCTTAATGATTATTGGTTACTTTTACATAATCATGAAAGTAAAATGAAATGTAATACCTTGAGAGTAGTGTAGACATAATTAATTACAGATAAATTGGTAAAAATCAACTAATATTACATTTGAAAAGTAAAAGAACACTTATCTTGAGACAAATTTTGTAAGTTAAAGAGTTTGGGATAGAGGAAATATTAGATAATTTTAGTTCCTATAATCCATCAAAAGTCAACACTACACAATGAACTTTTGGTATTAAGTAATAATTAAGCCAAAATTATTTATTGCCTGGTATTGCTCATTACATGAAAAAACATATTCTCTCCGTCTCAAAATAAATATCTTTTAGGTTGTGGCACACAAATTAAGAAAAATAATGAGTGAAAGAATAAGTATAACATATTTACAAAATTGTTCTTAATGATTATTGGTTACTTTTATATTGTCATAAAAACAAAGTGAAATTTAATGTCTTAAGAGCAATGCATATATAATTAATTAGTGATAAAATTGGTAAAAATTAATTAATGTTGCATTGAAAAGTAAAACCACAATTATTTTGAGACAAATTTTTTAAGTTAAAGAGATACTTATTTTGAGATAGAGTGAGTATTAGATGATTTTAGTTCTTATAATTCATCAAAAGTCAACACTACACAATGAACACTTGGTATTAAGTAATAATTAAGCCAAAATTAATTTTTTTTCCTCTTATTGCTCATTACATGAAAAAACCATACTCCTTCCGTTTCAAAATAAAAGTCTTTTAAAATTGTGGCACACAGTAAAAAAATAATGAGTACAAGATTAAATATAACACATTTATAAAATTATTCATAATGATTATTAGTGACTTTTACATTGTCATAAAAACAAAGTGAAATTTAATGTCTTAAAAGTAGTGCATACATAATTAATTAGTAGTAAAATTGGTAAAAATAAATTAATGTTACATTGAAAAAGTAAAACGACACTTATTTTAAGATAAATTTTTTAAACTAAAACGACACTTATTTTAAGAGAGAGAGAGTATTAAACTTAAAAAAATAAAGGGTTAGTATTATAAAACTCAACTAGTTAAATACATGAGAAACCAAAATATATTTAGAAATATACCACATTACGTACTCCATTTTATTTATAAATAGATCTCACAATTCCTAAACAAAGATCTCACATTTCTCATTGACTTTCTTGTTCATTTTTTTTCTTTGTAGTTATCTTGAAAAATCAGAGATGACTAATTCTATAGAGAGAAAACCACATGCTGTGTTGATTCCATTTCCAGTTCAAGGCCATATCAATCCAATGTTGAAACTAGCAAAGCTTCTTCACCTTAGAGGCTTTCACATAACCTTTGTAAACACTGAATACAATCACAAACGCTTGCTCAAATCTAGAGGTGCTAATTTCTTTGATGGTTTCACTGATTTTACCTTTGAGACTATACCAGATGGTTTAACTCCAATGGATGGTGATGTCACTCAAGACATACCCTCTCTCTTTCATTCAGTTATGAACAACATCCATATATTCTTTGCTGAACTTGTTGCTAGACTTCGTGAATCTGCCATTGCTGGTCTTGTTCCACCAATTACATGCTTAGTTTCTGATTGTTACATGCCATTTACTATACAAGCTGCTGAACAACATTCACTCCCAATCCTTCTCTTTTGCCCAACAAGTGCATGCACCTTGTTATCTGTTTTGCACACTCGCACATTGATTGAAAAAGATCTAATACCACTCAAAGGTAATATAATATGTGAACTTTCTCCCTTATATAGGTTACTTCATATGTAATTCTAAATCGGGTATATTTATTGAAAGTTTCTCTTGAAGTAACTTGATCTTATCAACCTATTAACATATATTTATGACAAGCAGATGAGAGTTATTTGAGAAATGGATACTTGGACACCAAAGTAGATTGTATTCCAGGATTGCACAACTTACGACTAAAGGATCTCTGTGACTTAATCCTAACAACCGATCGGAATGATATCATGTTAGAATTTTTAATCCATGTGGCAGATAGAGTTCACAGAGCATCTGCTATTGTTTTTAACACTTTTAATGAGCTTGAGAGTGATGTGCTACAAGCTCTCAGTTCTATGCTCCCTTCTCTCTATACCATTGGGCCATTACCTTCATTATTAAATAAAACTGGGCCTAATCATTTAGCATCTCTAGATTCCAATCTTTGGAAACAAGATACCAAGTGTCTTGAATGGCTTGAATCAAAGGAACCTGAGTCTGTTGTTTATGTGAATTTTGGAAGCATTACTGTTATGACTCCAGAGCAACTGTTAGAATTTGCTTGGGGTTTGGCCAACAGCAAGAAACCCTTTTTGTGGATCATTAGGCCTGATCTTGTCACTGGTGGCTCGGTTGTTTTGTCATCTGAGTTTGTCAATGAAATTGTAGATAGAGGCCTAATAGCAAGCTGGTGTCCACAAGAGAAAGTGTTGAACCATCCTTCAATTAGTGGATTCTTGACTCATTGCGGATGGAACTCGACCACTGAAAGTATATGTGCTGGAGTGCCAATGTTGTGTTGGCCATTTTTCGCTGATCAACCAACAAACGGTAGATTTATTTGCAATGAATGGGAGATTGGAGCTGAAATCGATCCAAACGTGAAGAGAAATGAGGTGGAGAAGCTAGTGAATGAGTTGATGGTGGGAGAGATGGGAAAGAACATGAGGCAAAATGCAATGGAATTGAAGAAGAAGGCAGAGGAGAACACTAGTCTAAGAGGTTGTTCTTACATGAACTTCGATAAAGTTATTAAAGAAGTTTTGCTTAAAGAGTACTAAATATTAAAGGGCTTTATTTTAAAAAATGTGGTTATGTAAGCTCTACAAATATGATTCATTATGTTATTTGATTTCAAGATAAATAATAATTTTTAAGAGGTGCTCGTATCACTTTATTTGTTAGAGTTTAATATTGTAATCTTAAGTGAACAAGTTCAAATGTCATGTATGATAATTGTAGCTGTATGTCATTTTTTTATTTATTTCATTGCATATTTAATTTAGACTATTTTTGAATATTACGAAATGAACGAAGCAGAATAGAGCAGAGTGGAGTGGGATAGAGTGGAATAGAACGGAGCAGAATGAAGATATCATTTCATTGTTTAAAAATTTTATGACGAAATAAAGCAAGTTAATCATTTCGCCCAAATTGAAGAGGAAAGAATACGATGGTAAGTGATAGAATGAAATTGAATCTATACCACTATATTCCACTCTGCTCCATTAGTTTTTAAATTATTCAAACAATAAAATATCATTTTATTTCATTTCACTCTATTTTTTTCATCGGATTCCATCAATCCAAACAAATATATACATGAGATATAATTGTATTTGTTTCCTTCTACTTGTTTTTTTATAAATAAATCTCTTTATTTAAAATTGAAGAAAAAAACAAATAAAAAGGAATGGAGACATGTATATAACTCATCAAAACTAATAAAATATGAATTAATTAAACTAAAATGATATCTAATTTAACTATCCCAAGCACATTGGGAGTAAAATAGTCTATCACGTGTCATGATCCATAAAATATCTGGCATGAGTCTATATATCTGAATATGTAAGAGATTTTTAATCTAAATTAACGAATAGTGCGATCGCAAGGGTTGACTAACTCTCTAATCATAGGTAATTCCATCTCATTGTATTTAAATAATTTATGAATATGCCACCACATATTGAGGCTTTGATATTTTCTATAAAAGATCTATCTATATTGCACATGATTCCACCAAGATTAGGCATATTATCAATTTATTTGAAAAAAATTGGTGTTGGTGCATGCTAGCATTTTATATCAAATGCTTTAATGATTATAAACTCCATTATTGAGGAACACGTGTTTTTTGATAGATGGTGGTGAGTATAAAAGCATTAACTTTACTAATGTGGTTACCATCTCTTTTAATCTCTTACGTATTTGGCTTGAATTTTAATAGTGTTTCTTTGATACAATTTTTTAAATAATTAGAATAATTAGTGTCAGAAGAATATGCTTATCTCGCATACTCCAATTTCTATCTACAATATTATTAAAAATTTAATTTATGCATGTTATATCTATTGAGTTAAATAGTATATTCATTCAATTTTCACATCAGATAGTAGAAAGAAAATAAAATTTGAATAATAATATGAATAATGATAATTAATTTGAGTTTTCAACGCAACAATAAAATATAGTTTTTTTTGGTGTATTGGGTAGTTGTGTATCTATAGACGGTTTATGATTTTTTATTTTTCTGTTCAAAATAATTTGCTAGAAGGTTTTTTAATTTTTTGTTAAAAAATAGTTTGTTGAGGATTTTCTATTTTTCCGTTCAAAAATTGTAGTTGAGAGAGAGTATGTAATTTTTTCGTCCAAAAATTGCAATTGAGAGAGGGTTTGTAATTTTTCCGTCCAAAAATTGCAATTGATAGAGAATTTGCAATTTTTCCGTCCAAAAATTGCAATTGAGAGAGATTTACAATTTTTCCGTTCAAAAGTTGTAATTGAGAGAAGATTTATAATTTTTCCGTTCAAAAGTTGCAATTGAAGGAGAGTTTGCAATTTTCTCCTTAAAAATGACAGTTTGGAGGGTTTGCAATTTTCTTCTTAAAAATGATAGTTTGGAGGGTTGCAATTTTTTCTTTAAAAATTGATGTTTTAAGAAAATTAAAGTTTGGATGATTTGTAATTTTCTTTTTAAAAATCGATGTTTTGAGGGTTTGCAGTTTTGTCCTTAAAAATAGACATTATACGAGAGATTGTAATTTTGTCATTCTAAAATTAGAAGATAAATTATAATTTTTTTAGTTTTATTTTTTGAATTTGTTTGTTTCTTTTCTTCTTTTATGGATATGCTTCCGCAAGTGTACAAATTTGTTTTTTTTTGTGGTTATTTTTCCAACATCTGGTATCAGAGTTAAGGTTCTGATCAAGGGGGGAGGAAGAGTCACTAAAATTTCGATCAAGCAAAAAAGGAAGAGTAACAAAAAATTTATTCAAGGGAGGAAGATGACAAAAATATTGAAAAGTAATAATTTTACAAATGTGGCTAATCATTATAATTATAATGATCGCTTTGAATATGAAGGTGACCACAAAGTGAAGATATGTGAAGATACGTGAGACTTTAGATGAAGGGAAGATTTATTAGGTCAAATAATATATTCATCCAAGTCCCACATTGGGTAGTAGGAAGAAAATAAAATTTGAGTAATAATATAAATAGAGATATTTAGTTTGAATTTTGTACGCAACAATAAAATATAGTCTTTTGGGTGTATTGGAGATTTAGGTAGTTGTGTGTCTAAAGAGAATTTTTTATTTTTCTATTCAAAAATAGTTTGTTCAGAGTGTTTTCTATTTTTCCGTTTAAAAAAGTAGTTTGTTGAAAGAGTTTGCATATACTTCTTCTTAAATATAACCATTCAGAAATGATATTATGATTTACAAAAAAGGAAACTAATAGACGAATAGCTTCTAACCCGGCGACTGGTGCAAAGGTTTCTGTATAGTCTATACCTTCTTTACAACGGTTTGATTTACATTTGTTTACAATAATAATGCTTCTACATAAGCTGGATGTAAACATAATTAAGTACATCAAAAGAACCTAATATATATTAAAAGATATTACATTGTATTGTAGCTTTAATGTATGGTCTTCTTTTCTTCAAGTGGTTTCTTCATGGACAACAGCCCAAAGCACTTGTGTCGCTGAAGTCTTCTTCTTCATAAGCTTCTGAAAGATTTGTTGATCTTGATATAGTAAAGAGAAGAACTTCTTCATCTCGATTCACCTTAAAACATCCTGGATAGCATCCCTTGTTCTATTTTATTCTATGATCACTTTAGAGCATAACATTTATGTTGTGGATTTGTAATTTGAGCTTTCATGATCATCTTCATTATCTTCTACGGCTTAACAAGCTTTGTGCATCATATGAAATTAGGCACATTGTGAATTAATGATTTCATTGTAATCATTATCAACATGATTGAAGAATCATTTTGATAACAGTTGGTCTTGTTATTGTTATAGTGGTTGATAGCTTTTTGGCTGTGTTCCAATAATGATAGCTTTCATTTTTAATATTGAACACCAACAACTTGTGACTTGCAACTTGCAACTTTTAGCATCCTGCCAAGCAGCCTACAGGAAGCTCATCAACAGTTTAAACATACAATTCTTTTCTTATATAGCCAAGAAAAATAGAGTCGTTGGCTATTTCAAAAAGAGTCATTATAAATAGTACTGCTACGTCCTTATCTCTTCTATACTTCAAGTTAGTGGAGAGGTAGTGCGTAACACCCCAATTCTATCCGACAATTATTAATAAATCAGAGTTATAAAAATTCCACAACTAAATCAGGATGCTACAATTTCAACTTAAAACAATGACACTCATTACATATACATAACACATTAACTTGGATGAACCAACAACAACATAAATTAATCTTTTTAAAAATCAACAACTTTCATAACTATGCAGCGGGGTCAAATATTCAACTTAAAAGAATATATCATCTTTTTCCAACTAAACAATTTTAATAACAAGTACTTAACGAACAACAACTTAAAGTTCAATCAACTGAAATAATAACAACAATAAACTAGCAAGCGTTCATCCCCCATATTGTTACGTATCAGAGCAATGACACCAACTCGAACTACTGAAGGTAAACCACCTTCGCTCTTGATTACCTGCATATTACCAACATATGGGTAACATTCAGACATAAGGGGTGAGATATCGAACATTATAATCAGATGTATGATAATATTACATTAGAATTAGTCTATGCAAAATTACCACTTCATAACTTTAAACAACATCAATCACAATAAAACACTAACGAAACATAATAATTAAGTCATCAACATGACAACTCAATATGCAACGTGAAAATAGACTTGTTACTATGCATATGCATGTGTAGTGGCGGAGCCAGAAAAGTTATAAAGCCTGGGCAAAAAATTAAAGACCGCAAATTCACATTGTATATAATATATAAAAAGTTATCAATCAAAATAAAAGAGATTCGTCATTTTGTAAACAAAAATATAGTTTAAAATAAAAGAGATAAACAAACCTTACAATAGCGCGTTAAATAAAATCACGAGGCAAATGTCCTTTTCGAGACTTCTTTGCGGTAAATGTTAGAATAATATCAATATCATTAAGTGACTTAAATATATCCCGCTCAGTGTAACATACCATCAAGTCATTGAACCAAACATCGTTGATCTTGTTCTGAAATTTAGACTTGTTAATCTTCATTGCTAAAAAATCTCTTTCAACAGATGTTGTCGACACCGATAATATCAAAGCTAACTCAATAAATTTATAAACCAATGAAAATACCAATGTTTCTCAGTTTGATCCATCTTCATAGCCAAACTTTAAACATCTTAACAAGTGTAAAATGAAGTATTTCTTCTCACTTAAAGAATATAAGTGTCAAGTTGATCCCTTATTGTTCCTCGGTCATCATCAGAAAAGTCTGCATGATAAATATCAGCAAGACGAGCAAGCTTATCAACATTAAACTTGGAGAAAGAGTTCTTGGGGTCAAGACATGAGAAGTAATTAAGGATAATGTTAATTCCTTCACTAAAGTGATGATCAATCTCCACACATATTTTGTCAATAGCAAGTCAAACAAATCTTATACAATTCTTCTGAATCCTTGGTTGCTTTAGCAAACTTACTTGTCACACTTTGTGTTTGATTATTATAATCATCGTAGTGCTTGACACGTGACTTGTGCAAACTATTAT